TGTGCATGCTTGAAAATTGTTCCGTTATGGTAACAAGATGCTTGAATTGTAACAAAGTAACAATTTCATACAACAGAACAAAGTATACAAGTAACAATTGTTACAAAGTACCACAGTGTGTCTTCCTATAGAAACAGCATTGTAATCAATGTCCTTGTAAGGAAGGTTAGAGAATCAGAGGAACTTGATTACTATATCCATTTAAATTGTAGTAAAGTCAAACGTGCAGATTCACTGTGTCTAACTTTCTCATCTGTACAATGGCGTCACTCCTTAAAAGAACGGCTGTCAAAAGCTCAAATGGGTTTGCAACTGCAAAAATAGGTGTGAAGAACTGTGCAATATAGATTTTTAGGTACCACTGGTATTTCCACAAACCTCCGCCTTACAAAGCATTCGCAAAATCAGGGTATTACCATTCCAGTACTGTAATAAACTTCCTTCTACAACCGTACACCTGCGTACTTAGATGTGATACTTATAGATTCCATCCCGAGTGAAAACAAAAACCACTCAACAATGTTTTGACCGGTCGAAGTATCTGAAGTGGCCAGAATTATTATATATCACGAACTGTTACCAGGGAACAGAGATTCAAAATATAACCATGGTAAATTCTATTAATATTTAAAATCAATTTGGTGGTGGGAAAGAACATGAGTGAAGTGCTTTTGTAGCAAGTTGGCGGAGTCAAAAGGCTTTTCACGCAACGCAAAAGGTGCGTGTCCGAGGTTCTTCCTGAGCTCAGCCAAGATGCGCGTTGGGTCGGACCCTGCGGGAAGATCGGAGTCACACAGAACATGGGAAGTCTCCAAAGACCGTTGCAAGAACTTCATATATTGTCACTATTATTCAGTTTGTGGACGACAGGAATGATTCCCCGGCCTTGGCTTGACGAGCGAAACAGTCGGAGGGGGAATGGGAAAGAACAAACGCGCGGGGTGAACCGGAGGCGGATTTGTCTAACCATTGGTAGGAGCGTCGACTAGAGCCGGCGGCCACAGGTGAAATCGCGCACGGAGACTTCAGCCCACAGCCGTGTACGAAGGCGCACGACGGAGGTCGACTGTAGCGACAGCCGTTGATACACTTTTTCTAATTTTTCGTGCATCAAAATAAATTGGTGACATTTAAAAATAACGTAATGAAAACAAATATGCATATGTTACCATTTCCGCATTTACAAGCAAGCGCCACGTAAAGTAGAACAGCCTTCAGTTGCTCTCAAGCTTCCTCCATCGCACAAGAGCAAGCAGGACGCATCGTCCATGCCAGCACAGACCGCCGTGCGTGGGGCTTTGGTTGCATTTTTTTTTTTTTTTTGAGACAGAGTCTCACTTGTGTGCCAGGGAGTGAGTGCCGTAGTGATCAGCCTCGCTCACAGCAACCTCAATCTCCGGGGCTCAGCGATCCTACTGCCTCAGCCTCCCGAGTCGCTGGGACTAGGGCATGCGCACCATGCCCGCTAATTTTTGTATATATATTCTTTAGTTGGTCATTAATTCTTTCTATTTTGGTAGAGACGGGGTCTCGCTCAGGCTGGTTTCGAACTCCTGACCTTGAGCAATCCGCCCGCCTCGGCCTCCCAAAGTGCTAGGATTACAGGCGTGAGCCACCAAGCCCGGCTGCATTTTTTTATTTTTACTTATTGTTACTTATTGTTTGGAGTTCTTAACTGCAAAGACTCATCATACCACGGTGATATTCCCCATCGATGAGTTATTTCCGTATAGTAAACTCGTCGATAGCTTAGCTCTTACGTGGGAATGGGGGCGCAGGCCCCGGGCGCCGAGACCCTCCGTGCGGCGCTGGCAGGAGGGCCGGCAAAGCGCGCTGCTCTCGTGCCCCGTGTTGCTCTTAACTCCTAAGTCCGCAGCTTTGCAAAGCGGCGGCTTTTTCAAACGGGAAAGTTGATGGGATTCAGCCTGGCGCTAGGCAACAAGAGTAGAAACAGAATAAGTAGAAACGCCGTGCAAAAATGAATAGCTGCTTCAGAAACAAAGGCAAGGTGAAGCGGTAAGATAATAATAAATCCTTCGTGCCAGGAACCGGGCTTGGAGGGTGTGGTGCTGAGACGGTCACGGCTCCGGCCTGGGAGCTCACAGCGGGCGCCCCCGTGAGCAGAGCCTTCACAGAGGCGATGGGGTTGAGCCTGCAGAGAATGAAATGACACCTCGGAGGGTGGCACGCGGCAGGGCGCGGCGAGTCCGCAGAAGGAAGCCCGCATGCAGACCGCACCGAGGGTCTGCCTCGGTGGGGGCAAGGCAGGGGCATGGCCCCGGGGTGGTTGGGAGCGAGCCGCAAACGTCCCGGCTGCTCTTCGCCGGCCAGGTGGCCCTCAGAGACTTGGGGCGAAGGCATCGCAAGCCGAGCATCCGCTTTGGGGGCTCCCTCTGCCGCCCCCGGGGTGACGGGGCCGCGGGGCTGGGGGAGGCCCCTCTGCGGGTTGCAGGCAACGTCCCTAGTCTAGGCGAGAGTTGGCCCTCGCAGGACCCGGCTCTAAGCCTTTGCGCTGGGATGTCGAGCGTGACTCGACACGGCTAGCAAAAATTACAGAGATTAAAATGACTCTTCGAATGCATCAATCATTTGAAATATTTAAAAAAAAATTCAAATAAATAAGTTTGCATGAAAAGAAACTCCGGGTTTTTTTTTCTACTGCCATGCTTCGTAAAATCTGGGGTATTTGAAAAAGTGAAATCCCCGAGTAGAATAAAGGAATCGAGAGCAAAGCAAGCGAGTGCAAAGGGCTAAAGAGGGGGCTTTGGAAAGGGGGGGATTGAGCAAGTAGGATGGGTGGGTCCTGGACCACAGCTGCCTGCCGGGGAGGAAGGAGAGCGTGGATTCCAGACGCCCACGGAGAAGCAGGGGTTTGGCCCCGACCGGGTGCAATGTAGCGGGGAGGTCAGCTTCGAGTTCCCGCACGCGGCGGACCTCCTGTTTCTCGGAGACAAGGCCGCCTCGCTAAGTGGACGACGCACACGGCCCGGCCGCTGTTGCTGCTCCGGAGAAAGCTCTGACTGTGAGCCTGGTTGTTTTTCTGGTGGGCGCATGTATTTGCTTGTCTGTGTTTTTTGAGCAAATGAAACCCAGCCCCGGGCCATGACCTCTCCGGGTGCCGGGTGGGACGGACACAGGAGCTTCCCGGAGGAAGTGGCTCATCCACAGCGTCCTGGAGGCGGGGGTTGTGTGTGTGTGTGTGGGGGGACGCCAGTGTCCCATCGCGACTTCCCAAACCAGATGTCCCTCACCCCCCCCCCACCCCAGGCCCTCAAGACGGCAGATTGTGTGCAGGGCCGGCTGCTGGGCACCCGGGGCAGAGAGAGAGCGAGCTGGGAGGATTAGGTGGATTTCCACAAGCATCCATCCTTCTGTTCCCAGTTGGAGCCTTTCTAGGAAGTTTCCATTTCGAGGGTCACTATTCACGAAGCTAAGCCTCCTCACGCTGGTCTCCTTTTGCTCATCCTCGACTCTGTTCTGGTGACTTCTGGTGCCTCCCCGGAAGCCCTCGGGTTCCACCCAGAGATCTCCGCAGCCAAGCCCTTCTTCCACCTCCGTCCAGGAGCAGGGCTGGGGTGACGTCCCGGCCCAAGCACCCACCCACCCACCCCCTGGGTGACGCTCTTGGTTTGCGCGTCAATAAAGACTTAGTGAGAGTGTAAGAAAGTGGACCGTCCTCATTAATAGTAGTAGAGTGCTGCAAAACCAAAAACAGAAACAAAAGGAAAAGTGAGCTGGCCTGAGTCAAACTCCCGGACGGAGGGATTTACGTTTTTTTTGTGTGTGTGTAGAGTTCGAGTCTGCAAAGTATAATCTGTGGGCCAAATCTACCCGTCGTGTGTTTCCGTACAGCCTGGGAGCTTAGGGATGCTTTTTACATTTTTTTTTTTAAGTGGGAGGGCAACCCAAATGAGAATAATGACATTTCATCACAGGTGAAAATCATGTGAAATTCAAATTTCAGTGCCCATAAATCAAGTTTTGAATTTCATCCATGAAAAGGCGAGGGGAATTTGTTTCCTCTCCTGTTCTGTGAGTGCCCTACGTAACACCTTCGATTTTGCCTCTTGATCTGTAGCGTAAAGCCTACACTATTAACTACCTGCCGCTTTGCAGAAAGAGTTCCAGGTGTAGGCGCTTTCTCTTCCGTCATCTAGAAAGTCTGGGTTCGGCCGGGCGCGGTGGCTCAGGCCTGTCATCCTTAGCACTCTGGGGAGCCCAGGCAAGTAGATCACTCAAGGTCAGGAGTTCCAGACCACCCTGAGCAAGAGCGAGACCCCCCCATCTCTACTAAAAATAGAAAGAAATTAGCTGGACAACTAAAAAAATTAAGCTGGGCACGGTGGCGCATGCCTGTAGTCCCAGCTACTCGGGAGGCCGAGGCTGGAGGATCGCTTGAGTTTGAAGGTTGCTGTGAGCTAGGAGTTTGAAGGAGTTTGAAGGTTGCTGTGAGCTAGGCTGACGCCACGGCGCTCTAGCCCAGGCCAAAGAGTGAGACTATCTCAAAAAAAAAAAAAAAGAAAAGAAAGAAAGTCTAGGTTGAAAACTCTAAGCTAGGATGGGGAGATCTTTAAAACCCGAGTATTTTTTGCATCTCATGCATTTCTGTGCTTTGCTATGTGATTTCTGCCAAGTGCTAATAACAACAGCGTTGATAGCACGGGTCCGGCGTCCTCAAACGACGGCCCTCGGGCCACATGGGGGTGTTTTTTTTGCCCGTTCGTTTTCACTTTAAAATAAGACATGTGCAGTGTGCATAGGAATTTGTTCATAGTTTTTTTTCTTTCTTTCTTTTAAACTATAGTCCAGCCCTCCGACGGTCTGGGGGACAGTGAACTGGTCCCCCCCCCCCCCGTTTAAAAAATTGGAGGGTGCCTGGTCTGGGCAAATCATCGTTGGTTACATGGGTGGTGGCGGTCGGGGTCCCGGGAGCGCAGGGGGGAGGCAGGGCGGGCGCTGGCAGACAGCACTGCTGACCGGCTGCTTCTTCTGCCCTGCAGGTCACCGGCCCTTTCAGTGCCGCTACTGCCCCTACAGTGCCTCTCAGAAGGGGAACCTGAAGACCCACGTCCTCTGCGTCCATCGCATGCCTTTCGACAACAGCCAGTACCCCGACCGCAGGTTCAAGCGCTCCCGGGTGGACTCGGAGGCCCCCGGCAATTTCGAGGAGGCCCCGGCCGCCGCCAAGGCGGGGGGAGGCCCCGCAGAGCCGGCCGAGGAGGGCGGCGGCAAGCTCCAGCCGGAGAGCCACTAGCCGAGCAGAGCCAGCTGCGTGTTGCGTGTCGCCATACTCTTTCCCACGCTTGTGACCGGCTATGCGTCCGGTAAAAGAGTTCGCTCACTGCATTCCAAGAGGGGAGGGGGAGAAATCATGTACAAGAAGCCCCCACTAGTGTATAGAACCTTTAAAAAAAAATTTTAAAAGAGATCTATATATATATTAAAAAAAAAAAAAAAAAAAGAAAAAAAAAACAAGAAAAACAAACTTCCCCCCCAGGCCTTGAAAAACGGCTGCTAAACTGTTACCCGGCAACAAGTACTTCCAAACCACGCAGGTGGGAGACAGGAGGAAAAAAAAAAAAAACAAAAACAAAACAACAAAAAAAACAACAAAAACGGGATTTCACAAAACGCTTGGTGTCCTCTGAGCTAGAGATTTCGAAAGCTGGGGAGCCCTCCCAGCGCGAAAGTCGTCTCTGCCCAAAAATAATAATAATAATAATAATGATGATAATAATGCTCTTAACCGAAAAGGCGAGACCATCTAGATGATTCGTTTAGAGTTGCCTTGAAAGATGGAAGGGCTGGGTGTCCGTGGTTGGAAGCGCCTCTATAATCTGACACCGGCTGCTGTCATCTGCCTCTGGCACCTTAACGTGCCGGGGAGGCAGCCGCGGTGCCAGCCAGGCTGGAGCGGCCGCTGGGGAGAAAATCGATGCAGGGGGTGTCGCGACTCCAGTCCCCGAGAAACCCTAGACGGGACGCGGCCAGCGCCGGCACTGCACCCCCGGCTCTGCGGAGTGATGGCGATCTTAAATGTGCATCTATGAAAAAAAAAAAAAAAAAAAGAAACCACACAGGGCCAAACGAATCAATGGTCAGGAAGTGTCTGCAGACAGATGTCCATTGCAGGTTTGATGAGTCAATCCTTTTTCTTTTTTTTTCTTTTTCTTAGATCAAATTGCAGGATGGAGGGAAATGTTCTGTTCTTGGTTCTTTTTTTTTTTTTTTTTTAGTTCAGTTTTTGGATGAAAGAAAGAGGATGCTATTAAAAAAGAAAAAAAAAAAGTAGGGTGACATTATATATAAAATGTTGTTAGAAAAAAACTAGCCAAACCTTATCCATAGAAGGTGCCGGTGAGAAATTAAAATTTAGGTCATACTAGAAAGGTTGTTTTATTTTCTTAATTATGATTTTTTTTAAAACTTTTACTTGAATAAAGGCTGCTCCAGTCCTCATAATAAAAAAAAAAATTTTTTCCCCCCATGGGTTAGTTTTTTATAAGTGTCAGAGAGAGACATGCAGCGAGATTTTTTTTCTTCAGCAAGCTCTTATGAAATAGCTTGTATGAAAATATGAATCTAAAAATCCTGTTCTCTGTAACGAAGAAAAAAAGAAAAAAACCTGAGTTAAAATGTCTGTTTTTGTAAGACAAATGGGTTCTATATTTTTGTAGATTTTAGATTTTCTACTGATTGGAAAACTCCAAATTGATAGAGTTCTGCACCACACAGAGGGTCAGTAATGAAACGCTTAACTCATTCCCGAGAACGATTTAAGAAGACGAAAGTTCTGTTCTTGAATCTGCTAGAGGGGGTGTACATGTCCAGCCTTTTCGCGTACTTCCTTTGAGTGACATGATTATCGGTGCTGTTGCTTGGGACAGTCGAGAAGTCTCTTCGAAGTATCCACCACTTCTTCTAGAACAAAATCATTCAGACTTTAAAAAAGAAAAAAAAAATGTCAATATTTCCTTGTAGGCTGGGAGCACAGAAATAAAAAAAAAACCCCAGGGCCTTAAAAAAAAAAAACAAAAAAACCACTTCAGCTCTGCCTACAGCAGTTTACAAAAATTACTAAACTGCAATCAATGTAAATAAAATTCTTAGTGCTATCCTGAGACCCCCGGGAGGCGTCTCAGGCTAATAAGGAATCGGTTTGCGTTTGCTTTCCGAGGGTGTCGCCCATCCGAGGTTTCCGTGTAAATGAAGTTGCTGTGCCACGTGGACCGGTCTGGTATATAGAGCAAGCTGCTTTCTTGTTTTTTTTTCTAGTCTAGTTCTCACTGCCTTACTTAAAAACCGAGTCGATACACTTAATGCAACTGTCTCTATGATCCTAGAGGAAAAGGATTGAAACGGTATCGAAAACTTTCTGACTGTAGTAAGCTTTAGGGTTTTAACTGCACTACTGTGTTTGGTGACTGTGCCAGTCGCTTGCTTTCTTCTGCGTGTTTGCCCCGCCTTTGGTATCTTAGCAGAGAAAAATTTAAAAAAAAAAAATAAAAATAATGATAATTAAAAAAAAATAAAAAGAAGATAAAGAAAAAAAGAGAAAAAAAAGGAAGAAAAAAAAAAGTGGGGGTAAGAAATGAGAGCCACATTCCATTTCTAGCACTTTGGGAGCTCTTTTGGTATATTCCTTTTTGTGTCTCTGAGCATCGTTCTGATGCGACAGGCAATAATAATTCTGTTTGTTACCCTGGGGGAAAACCCCTCTTCTTTGTGGTGTGTGTGTGTGCGTGTGTGTGTGTGTGTTGATTCCATTTTGTCCAGTGCTACCGTCCTTATTCCCCCCCTCCCTCCTCCCCTGACACAGCCTCTTCTTTCCGGAACATTCGTAAACTTGTAATCCAGACAAGTGCCCGTCACTGATGCAGAGTCAGTTGCTGAACGTCACCAGGTTCCCACATCTAAACACGTCGAGTTCCCCCCCACCCCCCGTAACTTCTGTAGTCTGTGATTCTGGGTCATAATACTGTCTACATTCCTACACAAAGAAAACAACAACAACAAAAATAAGATCTGTCTTGGAGGAAATCCGAGATCAATAGAGTAGAGGATTTTGTTGCTATGCTTGTAACAAGTAGAGAACTTTGTATTTAAAGTTTATTCTTGGTCATTTATTTATTATGATAATACATCCGTTGACAGAACTTTATTCTGGTATAGAAAGTATTAAAAGTTGTTTTTTTTGTTTTTTTGTTTTTTTTGTTTTTTTCTTCCAGCAATGACTTGTTTTCTTTCTGCTGTTAGAATAAAATGTCTTTGAAGCAGTCCAGTTTTATCCGGTGTTTTGCGCAATAAAACCTCTACCTCTGGGAAAAAAAAAAAAAAAAGAAAAGAAAAAAAAAGAAAAAAGAACCCTACATCTTTTCCTATTTGCTTGTGTTTACTAGGAAGAGTAAAAACATGTTTTTTGCAGTTTTGCCAGACTTTGGCAAGGCTTGGTCAAACCCGACTTAACAAAAAGCGATGCAGAATTTTGCAGCGTGAACGGTCTTCATAAGCGTGTGCGCTCTCTCAAGCCGAATGAGTCTCTCTGTGCGGCGTGAACAGCATTTGAGTGTGTGTGTGTGTGCGCGCGTGTGTGTGTGTGCACGCCCACTTGCATGTGTGAACTATGCCTCTTCAAATGTTTGCAGACATCGGTTTCAATAAGGTAGAGCCTGTGGAAGTACCAGTGCTCTTTAAATTGCGGTAATTGCATAAGGCACTTAGAGCATTGGGATGCATTATTTTCCTTTTCTGGTAGAAAGTTTCTAAAAAAAAATAAATAAATAAAAATCATTAAATGGCAGGAAGTCTTTCGCCTCCAAATTATCAGAGGATGATCTGAATTCTTCCAGGCAAGAGAAGGAAAAGAACAAAGGACGATAAAAGTCTATGGTATTCGGGGGCTACTGCAAAAGCAGAAATCTCAACGGTGATCGGAGAAGGTTTGAAGCGTGTGCTCGGCACTGCATGTGCAGAGCTTCTTCTTCTTCTTCTTTTTTTTTTTTTTTGTTGTTGTCGTTTTGTTTTGGTCTCCAAAACAAGTTTGTATAGTGCACGCCAAAGTTCTGGAGTAGGCAGGGCCACCAAGAGCTGAAAACAAACAAACAAAAAACCCATCCGCCCACATTGTGTAGCAATTCGCAAGTGCGCAGTGTTTCTTGCAGGGTGTGAGAGTGTGCCTGTCCTTGGGTGGAAGGAGATTTCACTTGAGTGGAGTCGTCCTCAGTCCTGTCTGTCTGTCTGTCTTCACCAACATCAAAGGTGAGTCCTGAGGTTACAGCGAGGGGGTCAAGAAATGAACCCATCGGGCACAGAAGACCGACGTGTAGAAGGTTGAATTCGGGGTCAGAACTTGTACCCACACATGCCACGTCTCAAACCCCCCCAAAAAAGTCACGCAAGACCCCACCGTGGTGAGGGCGGAGAGGAATGGTGGGGTCCCAGGTGGGCTGAAGAGCGTGTCCCTGCGATGGCGGGTGCCATGGCAAAACTGCACCCCGTCACCACGAGGAACGTGGCACAAGGTCTTCCTGGATTTTCAAGAAGCCCCGGGCACCTACTGGATTTTGTGTGAAGTCTTCCGATGAGTCCTTATTGGCTCAAAAGTTGTTTTAAAAAACTGTGTGTCGGGCCGGGCGAGGTGGCTCACGCCTGTAATCCTAGCACTCTGGGAGGCCGAGGCGGGCGGATTGCTCAAGGTCAGGAGTTCAAAACCAGCCTGAGCGAGACCCCGTCTCTACTATAAAAATAGAAAGAAATTAATTGGCCAACTAATATATATAATATAAAAATCAGCCGGGCATGGTGGCACATGCCTGTAGTCCCAGCTACTCGGGAGGCTGAGGCAGGAGGATCGCTTGAGTCCAGGAGTTTGAGGTTGCTGTGAGCTGGGCTGACGCCACGGCACTCACTCTAGCCTGGGCAAGAAAGCAAGACTCTGTCTCAAAAAAAAAAAACAAAAAAAAAAACTGTGTGGCGAATGGGTGAAAATCATGCAGTCTATCCATAGGATGGAACATCATTGTGCCCTAAAAGCGAATAAAGACATTCCTGAGATATGCTACCATGTGGGTGATCCCAGACAGCATAGAAACCAGCCAGTTACAGACAGCTGTGTATGGTAGGATTCCTTTTATACGAAATGCCCAAATCAGGCCAATCCATAGAGATGGGGTGTGGATTAGCAATGCCCAGGGGCTTGGGGAAAAAGGAGAATGAAGACTCACGGATGATGAGTATGAGGTTTCTTTTTGAGAGGATAAAAAAAAAAATGTTCTAAAATGAGGTCGATGTCCTCATGGCTGTCCTACTTTGTGAATATGTTAAAAACCACTGAACTCAGTGCTTTAAGAGGGTGAATTTCATGGCATGTGAATTCTATCTCAATGAAGCTGTTGTGGAAAATAAAAAGTTAAACTGGGTGTAGGGGGCAATTTTAAGAAGCATCAATTTATATTTCCATCAAAATATTTTTGGGCTCTTGAGAAGACACAGGCAATTGGCAGATTAGTACAGTGTAAAGAGTACAAAATTCGGGGTGTCTAGACTTGGAGTTGAACCCTGGCTTTACTACTTAGTGGCTGGGTGATCCCGAAGAATTCGACTGGTCCGAGTTCATCGATTGCACCTGTAAAATTGTGACAACTCAGTGTGACAGGTAAGGAGACGGTATGTGCATTTTGTAAAGTATTCTACGAATGTTACATATTGCACCATTGCAGTGTTAAGTTATAGACGCATTTGGGATTAATTGCACATCCACGAAAAGCTAGACAATGGTAACATCCCCGTGCTTTGGAAAGGTTTCCTCGTGGTCAGGTGGCTGGGATTCCTCCTCCAGGACAAGATTCCTCCACGAGGGAAGTCTTCAGCTTTCGTTTTCCAACTCCTGCATCTGGAAAATGAGAGTATTTAACAACTCTCTTGCTATTCCCAAGGTAGACACCGGGCAGCTGGGGAAAGAGGGCATGCAGTGAGGCGCTAGATGCTACCCCACTCACTCTTTCGACAGATACTGACAGAGGACCTGCTGTGTGCCCGGCATGGGCTATGGGCCAGAGATGGACGGGTAAGTCAGGGGTCATGCCAGACATTGCTAAGGATACAACAGACTATAATCTGATAAAAACAAAACAAAACAAAAACAAACAAATAAGCTATGTAGGAGAGGAGGTACAAGGAGAACGGGAGTTTCCCAGGTGATGGAAGCCTTAGGAAGTGACCTTGAACTGAGAGATGAAGGGCAGTGGACCGGGCCTTGGGACCCATAAGTGTTGGAGTTTCTGCTGGTGCCGTGGGGGTCTCCAGTCCAGCCTGGGCCTCTCAGAGGCTGTGTGACCCTGGCAGGTCATTCTGTGTCCCCCTACCTGTTGCTGCTTCTCTATAAAAGTGGGCACTTACGGCATCAACCACACAAGACTCTTTTGAGGTTCAGCGAGACAGTGCGTGTAAGAGCGATGACCAGGGCAAACTAGAAGCCACCAGATTCTAAGGACTGTTCCCCAAACAGTGGCAATGGCTCGACCGGACGGGAGCCACTGACTTGGTGATGCCTTCTGCAGACGCCTTCTGCGTGGGTTTCTCATCCTGCTTACCCATAAAAACCCACCGTGGTGTGATCCAGGTGGCCCCTTCAACAGAGGTCCAAGAGGACGGTCAGTTTCATGTCATGTCTAGGTGCCTCGGTCCCCCGGGAACGGGTGGGTGGGAGAGTTCTCGGTCCAGTCCGGGATCTCCGCGTGGCGACGGCTGACCCATCTGTGGCCGGGGCGAGCCACCACGAAAGTGGTACCCTTTGCTGGAGGTCTCTGTGCAGAGTGATCGGCCATTCTGGCTGGCCGGGACCGAAGGGATCTCCCAGGACATGGGACTTTTAGTGCTAAAGCCTGTGCAGTCCTGTGCGGACAAATGGCTTTGCTCGCCCTAGGTCTACACCCGTTTCCGCCAAAGGCACATGTCTTGTCTTGGTCTAGCGAAGGCCACAGCTGTCCGTGAGCTTGGAGGCCGGTGGGACGCCCCTCCCTGGTGGCCCTGTCTGTGCACCCAGGGGGCTCAGACCACGGGGCGCTGGAAACCGGACACTGGGATTCAAATCTTTCCTGACCCAGCAGCTTTGACGCAAAGCTCGCGCCCGAATCCATCTTCCCTGCAGCCGGAAGGAAGCCAGCCACGTGAGCGGCTGAGTCCCGGCATCGAGACACTGTTGTGCGCTGAAACTTTCGGTAGAGACGATAACCCTGCTGTCTCGGGCGGTTTGGGATTTGCACGCCCCTCCCCCACTCCCTGTTTAACATCTGTATTGTACCAGTATATTACGGGAACCTCACCTGGCGTGCTGTGAGCGCGGTCCCGGGGAAATCGGCATTAAATACTGTGATCTTCGTTTCAGGATAAAAGGGCCGGGCACATCCCACCAGGCTAGATGGATGTTTCCAGGGGGAAGGAGAAAAAAAATTCATGGCGTAATGCAGTATTAAAAATGTCACCCGGCTGAGCATTCCATGCAAGGGCTTGCACGGAGTTTTAATCTCTTCACCTGTTGTTGGTGTTGAGAGAAAAGAGAGAGATATGGGGTGGGGGGGAGGGAGGAAGGGAGGGAGGGAGAGAGAGGGAGAGGGCTTCTGAGAACAGGGAAATCACAGGCGAAGAGGAGGGGGGAAAATTTAAATGATCCCAGACCGAACTGTTTTGCTGTTAATACAGAAATACAGTGCAAGACACATTTAATGGGCTCTATTTTTTATTATACTATGCTGAATAATTAAGTTTGAGGCTAAGTGTCACATGGATTTATCTTTTAATTAAAAAAGCATGGTTCACGCATATTTGAGTGGTAGGCCAAATAAATGCAATATAGGAATTTATGTTTGTTTATCTAGGTGTTAATTACCTAGAGATTGTTCCGGATTACTTCTTTTTATAAAGTGTCATAGGCTCGTGTCAGAACGAATAAAGCCGGCCCCGTGGAACCTTATCAGTTTGCTAACTATCGCAGGGTGCCGGCCTGACCCGAGGAAAGGGTGGGGGTGGGGGGGGCAGGGTGAAAACTTTGGGGATTGTTATGCACACACTTGCCCCGGGTTCGACCCCCACCAAATAAAACAGTCGTCTCAGAAAATATTCCTAGAACATAAAGGCACGAATCTATCTTCATTGTTTTACAGCCTCTTGTCCACGGCTATTTATAAAACACGTGATTATTTATGCCTTGGGTTACCAGAAGTTCGCGGGCAGAGGCTGGGAAGGGAGGCTCCATCAATCCAGGTACCTGGGAGCCGGG